CCTATCCCCCTGTGTGCCTTGCCTCCCACGACTTATATGCCATTTACCTTTACTACAAAGTGGTCACAATTAATTTTGACCATTGGATGTGAAATCGAGAATTTTCTCAAACTTTATGATATACCCAAGCTATCAAATTTTACATCGAATAGTTATAAGTAATTGCGACCACCTTGTCTCAGATATAAATGGCCTCATTGCATGCAATCGCAAGGTCTCCACATGAGAACATTAACATCATATCCATACACATGTACACTCTCTCTCTCAAAATCATGTCCATACTCATGTATACTCTCTCTCTCTCTCCTTGAGTGAAACATGTGCAGTCCCTCCCCCTGCTCTTCCCCATATATAAACCAGTGTGCTTGAGTGAAACATACGCAGTCCCTCCCCGCTCTTCCCCCATATATAAACCAGAGTTTAGGAACTCACCTCTTCCAAGGGATATAGCCCTTGGCTGAGGCGAGTTATTTGGCCAAATCTTGTTCATAGATAAATTTTTAAAAAATAAGAAACATAAAAGATGTAGTAAAATTAAAATAAAATGCCTTAAAAATCCAAATAAGCTTAAAAAAGTATATAAGAATTAAATTAATTTATAGTTGGAAATATTTTAAAAAAAACCATAAAAAAAAAAAGAAAAAGAAGAAGAGATGATGACAAAAAAACTTACCAATCTTTACCAAAAACATCTATATCATATACAAAAGATTTATAGAACAATCCTCCACTTTTTACAATTTTTTTAGTTTTTTTTTAAAATTCTTATATAATCTAATTCTACACACAACTCAAGGTTGCTCGGCTTACTCATAAGGTGAGGCCTAATTACTAGACCGCGTCCTAATAGATCGGGCGAGACCTCTAACAGTGATATAAACAGTTCCTCTCTCGAGTAGATCTCTCTCTAATATGAGTGAAACATACAGTGAGCCCCTCTCTTCCTCAATGAGTAGAACATATACACTGACCCCCTTTCCTCCTCTCTCTCTCTCTCTCTCTCTCTCTTGCCTGTCAATCCTTCTCCTCATTTCGCGAAGAAGTGATCCATGGTCTGCCCTCAGCAATCCGTGCACTAGCCTCTCCTCGCGACGAATGCAGCGGGTGACATCGACGTGCTCCACGACCTGCTGTTCACCACCAAAGGAACTACTGGGGCTAACAATGTCACTACTACTTGCCCTGCATCTACCTTGCTCATCCATTATTCTACTGAGCACTGAACTTTCAAACAATCTTCTGCAATAAAAAAAAAGTTTCTCTCTCTCTCTTAATCTTTTCTAATATATCACAATGAGAGAGAAATTTTGAATCAGCATATGTGTAGCAATGCATGTTCACTTTTCATAATGAAGAGTTAATGCATTTGGATAGGCTCTTCTTGGAGCCATCTCACTTGTGTCAATTTTACACAAATGCATTAGTAGAGCAATTAACATGCAGGGAAGATTTAATTTATGAGAGAGAGAAGCTGGTCTTGACCACCAATTGGTGCCTTGAGAGAGTAGAGAGAAGCAGGTGGGATCACCAATTGGTGTTATGAAGTATGGTCTAAAGCAAAATTCAAGCTTGGTTGAATATGTGACCGATTTCAGCTAATTGGAATGGCTTTCAAAGATGGGTTTAACTATTGTTGGGCAATTTTATTTGTCAACATATTTTATATTTTAAGCTAATCCTTTTACTAAATTCTTTATTTTTCTAAAATACAATCTAACCAAGACCAAATGTTGGACCGATTTTATCTTTGACCTAACTAGTTTTGCGGTTTGTCTTATTACGAAAACATATTTGAAATGAAAAATTATCAAAAAATCCCATTGACTCATCTTTCGTTTACAATCTCTTCCCAACTAACTTTTTAATTGCAACTGTTACCCCAAGACCCATTTTTTTAACAAATACTCCTCAAGTAAAAATATCATAGTTATTTGGACCAAAATGCCATTGTCCATACACTACCAAATGTCTGTCCAGCCATGGTCTTTTTGTTTAGGCTGTCGGTCCGGCAATAGGAAAGGCAGCCCGGCATGAGGTACACTTGGTCAGGCACTTCCAATTGTCGTTCTGGCATTGTATTCTTTGCCGGCATAGTGTGCACGCTGTCAGGCCCAAGGTACCCTCGGTCTGACAAATATGCAATGGGGTCCGATAGTGTTTTTACCTCGGCCTAACACAAGGTGACATCGGTCCGGCACTTAACCTACTGGAATTGGTTGTATTAGGGACTGGTCTTTTGACATGGGTATCGATTCGACAGTTGTTTACTATGGTCCGGCATATTGTTCACACGGTCCAGCAACTGCGCATTGGGGACCAACAGTAGTTTTATTATATCGATCCAACGGTTTTTTACCGCAGTCCAACAGTTAACCTTTGGTCATTATGCATCCTACAGGGATGTGATGTGAGCTTGTGTGAATATGGGCATTTTGGTCTAAATAACTATGATTTTTTATTTGAAGGGTATTTGCTAGCAAAGTATGTTTTGGAGTAAAAATTGTAATAAAAAAATTGGTTGGGGAGGTTGTCTAGAAAATACAAGTTCAAGAATTATCGCAATTTTCCCTATTTGAAATAGGGGGGCCTATAATCCCCATAAAGGAAATATAACACGAACTATCTATATAAATAATGTGAAAATAAAACACGAGAACAATGTTATTTGTTATTAGATTCGCTTCGTTTTGGCCGAAAAGGCCAAGCTCTTCAAATTTTTGCCTTAGATCGAGGGAAAAAGCAGCTCTGGTGCATCTACTTTGACCTGCTTTAGGCCACTTCCACCTATTTGGCCGAAGCACATAATTTTTTATTTTTAAATTTTTATTATTGTAATGTATATTATTCCATATTAATTTTTTTAAAAAATTCGAAAGTCTTATCCCAAATCGGCCAAAGCAACCAATTGCTTCCTTTTTCTAACCAAACCAAATAAGCCTCCGATGCCACCTGCACCGGTTATAGTTATCCAAATGCTGCCATTT